GGAAAAACAAACTTGGTTTTGAGAAGCTACCGAAGCAAGAAGCCGCGCTGTGCCTAATTGTTGCTCAGCATACAGCAATAGCGCAAATTGACCTTTTTTGAAGGTGCATACGAGAACACAAAACAAAATGCGTAAATATCATTTAAAATGTTCACCAAGATATTAAAAAACCTTGGAAAATACATTTTGCTAAGCACTTCTTGTAGAAATAAATTTAGCTTTTTACTACGCTTTTTTGTAAAAAATTTGAGCTTTTTTCATTTTCCTTCACGTCAAAAACAGCTTTTTTATTCTGCTCATTTAGAAAAAACATTGATGTCTTTTTCGTTATGATACATCAACATATTGCATCGATGTGTTGCGATAATATAGTATTGGAATTTCCCTCGCTCCCCCCTCTCCCATGCAAATCGTAACTCCCGTAATTCTTGAAATTTCGAACTCAAATTTTGGAAATACCCCTAGTTAGTGATTATGTGTCCGTATGCCAAGTATCACTATGATAGACTGATTTAACAAGAAGTTATAGGCATAAATATGATGTTGTTGATGCTGGGGCTTTGGTTGACATAAGCACATTTAAACAGGCACGGATAGACGCGCATAGACATACATACAATCACATAGGCGCAATTGCTTTGTAAATGTGGAATTATACACCCTTTACGTGAGTTCGAATACCAAGAGAGGAAAAATCGATCAACAATTTTTTTTAATTTTCTTAATTTTTTAAATTTTTATCAGTATTCTAAACATATGAACAGAGTATTTCAAAGTCGGGACACCCGACTTTAGCTTTTTTTACTTGTTTCGTATTCTTTCAGCATGAATGCATTCGCACCTTTACAAATTAAGCGCATTTTTGAGAGATGGTTAAAACTAGTGATGTCATGTCTGTTTGTCAATACGTCAAACTTACTTGAGTTGGAGATGTACGATGCTTTCGATGCTGAGCGACAGTTAATGCGGCAAAATGCGATATTGAATTTTCAGCGGGCTCAGGACGCATATAAAAAACAAGAGAGAACGCTACAGTCGAGCAAGCCCGACAGTAAAATAGCGTGTACTCTCCACAAAAAAGGAAAATTAAAAAAAATTTAAATTATTAAAAAAAGTGAATTAGTTAATTAATTAAATTCAGAAATAAATTTAGAAGACATGTTTATGTTCAGTTTTAACAGCATACATTTACATCACATCAGCGATTTTATTTATGGCTATACCTTTCTTCAGAATTAACCTATCATGATGAAACTTGGCACACATTAGTGCCACATTAGTACTAACTGGATGTACCTACCAAAATTGATTTCAAACTTCAAGGTATTTATAAAAAAACAAGATAGAACGCTACAGTCGAGCAAGCCCGACAGTAAAATAGCCTGTACTCTCCACAAAAAAGAAAAATTAAAAAAAAAATTTTAAAAAAAATTAAATTATTAAAAAAAATTAATGAATTAATTAATTAAATTAAATTAGAATATATGTTTATGTTTAGTTTTAACAGCATACATTTACATCACGTACCTATGCGTGTTTATATGCGTGTATGTATGCAGCACAAAGTTGAACCAAAGCAGCAACAACAACAGCTGCGGGCAGCGCTGCCGACAGAGGCAGCGCATGAGCAACGATTTTACTTATGGCTATAACTTTCTTCAGAATTGACCTATCATGATGAAATTTGGCACACGGACACATTAGTACTAACTGGATGTACCTACCAAAATTGATTTCAAAATTCCGAGAATTACGGAAGTTATAAGAAAAAACACGAATTGCGGGGGAGTGGGGGGGTGCATCGAAAAAAAACTCAAACTCGTACTTTCTCGGTCTTAGGAGAATATGGAAACCAAGTTTGGTTATTCTAGCTCTTATACTTTCTGAGATCCTTGCGTTCATACGGACAGACGGACAGACAGACGGACGGACGGACAAGGCTATATCGACTCGGCTTCTCATCCTGATCAAGAATATATATACTTTGTGGGGTCTGCCACGCCTCCTTCTGTGTGTTACATACATGCGCACAAAACTAGTATAGCCTTTCACCCTTTGGGTACAGGCTATAAAAACAGGAATTGCGTGGGAGTGGGGGGGGGGGGGTGTATCATAATAAAAAAAAACAAGTAAAAAAGCTAAGTCGGGTGTCCCGACTTTGAAATACTCTGTACATATGTTTACAATGTTTGAGCAGCGCTGCAGCAGCAAATATATTTATGGCTATAACTTCTTTTTAAATCGGTCTATCATAGTGAAACTTTGCATACGGACACATAATAACAAATTTTAGTTCGAAATTCCAAGAATTACGGGAGTTAGAGAAAATTGCGATTTGCATGGGAAAGGGAGGGAAATTCCAAAATATGAATTTTCTGCGTATTCATACAAGGCATCTTGGACTAATATTTGGTGTTCCTAGGTCTTATAGTCTCCGAGATATAAGCGATTATACGAATGGAAAATCGGGAAAACCCCCATAGAGGGGAAGTGGGGGGTGGGGGAAGTGGGGGTGGGGGGAATCAAAAAAATAAATCAAGCTCGTATAGAATACACACATAAGGCATCTTTGTGGAAAATTTGGTGTCTCTATCTCTTATAGTCTCTGAGATCCAGGACAGACGAACAGACAGACAGGGCTAGATCGACTCGTCTCGTCATGCTGATCAAGAATATATATACTTTGTGGGGTCTGCCTCGCCTCCTTCTGCCTGTTACATTTTTCAGCTCCCGCAAACCTAATATACTTCTGTACATTTCATGTACAGAGTATAATAAACTTGACGTGCCTAGGACTTAGAGGAACCTCGATACCAAGTATATATATTATTGATCAGGATGACAAGACGACTCGATATAGCCATGTCCGTCCGTCCGAAAGTACAAGAGCTAGAATTACCAAACTTGGTATCCAGGTTCCGCTAAGCCCTGGGAAGGTCAAGTTTATTTTTTTTATTCTGATACACCCCCCCCCCCCCCCCCCCCCCCACTCGCCCGCAATTTGTGTTTTGTTTTTTATAACTAGCGTATGCCAAGTTTCATTATGATAGGTCAATTCTGAAGAAAGTTGTAACCATAAATAAATTCGCTGCTCATGCGCTCCCTGCAGCTCTGCCGGCAGCGCTGCCCGCAGCTGTTGTTGTTGTTGCTGCTTTGGTTCAACTTTGTGCTACATACATACACGCATATAAACACGCATAGAAACGTGATGTAAATGTAAAACTGCAAATAAACATGCCTTCTATGTATGTATTAAATAAATGTTCTTTATTACAAGTAATTTAATTAATTAATTCAATTTTAGTTTAGTATTTTAACTTTTTTTAAATTTTCTTCTTTGTGGGCTTGCTCGACTGTAGCATTCTCTCTTGTTTTAATTTCTATAATTATTGTAAACATATGTACAGAGTATTTCATAGTCGGGACACCCGGCTTTAGCTTCCCTACTTGTTATATATATAGAAGATTTAATTTTTTTTAAATACATTTTCTTTTAAGTTTCCTTTTTTGTGGAGAGTACAGGCTATTTTACTGTCGGGCTTGCTCGACTGTAGCGTTCTCTCTTGTTGTTTAGATTTAATCTTTTCAAATGTGGAGCATTCCTTATCACCCCTTGAACAGAATATAAGCTGGCTTCGACACCAACATTTGCTCTGATCTTTGATCTTATCAGCATCAGAAATCACTTTATTGTTACAGTATTTATTATTTATACCATATCCCTATATTTTAAGTAAGAAATTGTATATAACTTTTCTACTTCTGCCGAATTATTTTGCTATTTCAGTTATTGAAAGTTTTAACTCTTCTTAAGCTTTGTATTATGCTTTCTCTTTAACCTATGTTTTTTTTACCCATATTAAAGAAAATAGATCACTTGAGCAATAAAAAAATATCGTTTCAATACTTATTCAAATTGAAGCACCCTTTTCGATGCTTCGTTTCAATACCCTTTTCGATTGAAAAGAAAAGAAAATAGTAAAAACTATATAACGGTATATTGTTAACACATGTTCTCTTTCTCAGTGATAGTGCATACAAAGGTGAAGAAAATAGAAAACAAAAAATTGGCTTAAAGTTAACAACAACAAAATCCGACACAATTATATTTGGCTGATGTAGGTGTGCTAACCTGATGACGCGCAGTGTACATACAAGTATGTGTAGGGTTGATATCTCATTTACTAGCAGATTAGCATTGATCTATCGTTATGAGCAGTTAGGCTAAGAAGGTATATACTATAGTTAGAGCAGTAAGAGTTTGACTTCGGAAGCTAGAATGGACAAGTATAAACTTTAGTTTAATTTATACGAAGAATAAATATTATACGAAAGATCCTTACACACATTTTTTAAAAATCATATCTTATCAAATAATTAAACAGAAATATATTAAAGTTTTATTCAAGGCCTGGGCCCAAAATTTACGTTTCAAAGTCAGAAATCAAATTCGATTTGCGATGCATCGAATCAAATACATAAATTTATGATCCTATATTGACATATTCAATATATCGGACGAGCTCGATATATCGGAAGCAAACATCATGTTTTATTGAGCATCCATATTTATATGTATATCGCACATCCCTACTTTGGCGTTCGCATTTGGACTGTGCGTTGATTGCACATAAGCAGCTTTTCGTGACGAAATTTATCCACGGTGAAACCTCAATGTTTCAGGCCCAAGAAAATTTCCAAAAAGTCTACATATTATTTTGTTTATTTTCTGAGTATTCAAATTATTTTCGAGGTTAATCGGGTGAAAATTTCGGATTTTCATACAAACGCAAAGTATACACTTTGGTGATCTGTCACGCCTGCTCTGCGTGTTACATACATTTCAACTATATATATATATATATATATATATATATATATATATATATATATATATATATATATATATATATATATATATATATATATATATATATATATCTATATATATATATATATATATATATATATATATATATATATATATATTTAATTGCTTTTATTTTATATTCTATTATTGCTTAGACCAGCAGGTGCTTTTTCATTGATTTTGCGCGAAGCATCTTGTATAATGATCTTATTTTTCCGCCTCGTTACTTTAGCGAATGTAGTTGTTGGTTCAATCGGTGAACAACTTGGATGTACAAACGCAGTTGTGGCACTCATTGTTGACGCATATCGCGTCGCTATTTTCGGTACACATCTAGAATCATTGTTTACTTCTGCTGTGGGTGCATTGAGTATAAGTTGCAAGTTTTGCGTTGAGTATGGTGGCTTTTGCACAGATCCTAAGACTATAGGCATATCTTCATCAACGCCGATACTTTTATTAAAGCTGGTTGAGCTAGCCGATGCCTCTTCACTTAAGTGGCGCATAAAAAGAGTGAGTTTCATTTCATATTGACGTTGTAGAAATATAACGTTACGCTTGCCCTCTAAGCGCGCTTGTAGGACGGCATTCGATAGTAAACGCTCCTTCTGCTCCCAGACGTCTCGTTCGCGTTCGAGATGATTAAGCTGCTTCTCCAACTTGCGAGATGAGTCTTTCAGATCAATGACTTTAATAAAGTACTTGTAGAGAAGTGTTCGCATTTCCTCAAGAGATAACTTATTTAACCGTTCCATCAACATTTGCTCCCCCTGTTCACGGTTATGCCATGCACTGATATCGATGGACCTGTGACCACAAATAATCTCATTTTTAAATTCAATGGCCGCATCTATAGCTTCAATGGCCTCATCACATTCTAGTAGCTTTCGCTCTTCAAAATCCGTTAGTATTTTATCACGTTTTAGCTTGTTGTCCAATGAACAGCGCTGTTCCACAAGATGGTCTCGAGTGCGTCGCAAATTTCGTATCTCGTGGCGTAGGGTTTCTTCCTGTTCATCGCGTTGCAAATTCTCAGACTTTTCGCGCAGAATGTGATCAAGATGTGTAAGACGGTCCTGTACAGTCTGTAGCTCTTCATTATTCAATTGTTTTGTCAATGACATTGTCGCCAAACCGTTTATTGCTTCTGCTCTATCCAACATAATGTGCGGCTCTCTTGTCGTTTTAATCTGATATTCCAATTGCTCGCGTTGCTTCCTCTCTTTGTTAATTTTATTTTGTAGTTCCTCCATTTGCTTACGCGATTCACTTACTGACTGCTGCAGTTTTTTTAATTTTTCTTCACTGTCGCCTGCAATATGCTTCATGGAGCTCAGATCCTCTAGGCGCAGACTTAAATGTGATATTACAGCTCGCAGACGATCAATTTCACACTTTTCCTTGCCCTGTACCAATGCCTTTGTCATTTGTTTTTTAGTATTCTCGAGTTCAAGCTCCAGCTTGGCCTTTTTTTTATGAAAGCGCTGTTTGGCATGAATACGGGTTTCCCTATTTTTTAACACCTCGCTTATATAATTTTTTTGAAGCTGCATTGTCTGCTCAATTTCTTTTAATTGACACTGGTGCACGTCAATTGCAGCTTTCACTTTCCGCAGTTTTTTTTCTATGTATTCAGATCCAGCATGGGAGAAAATACGTATACTTTCACATGCTGATGGTAAGTCATTTATGAATGAGCGTTGATATTCTTTAGTAAAGTGATCCTTTGTCGTTTCAATCTCTTTGGAGGCCATACGGGAAAGCATGGCTAGCTCTGTGCTGCTTAAACTGGTACCCGGTTTAATTGAACGGCGTCGACCTGGAAAGGCGCAACATTTAACTTATACACGAATTCAATTAATCATTAATCAAGTCTTACAGCCTACAGTAAACTCCCGCTCGTCACATTTCTTCTTGGTAAAACTCTCTTGACTTTCCATTACAGCCTTAGGTTGCTTGATCAGGAATTCTGTATGCTTAGCTTCAATCAGTGTATCTGTTTTCAAGCAGAACTCGTCCATTATATTATCTAGTTTCTCAACCAAGTCAGGGCGAGATTCTGTATCTGTTTCATTGTCAGAATCTTGTTGAACCGATATGTCCAGCTCATCAGCCTCTTGTATCGGTACTAGTGGCTTTTGTACGCGAATATTGCAATTAAAGCTTTCGAGACAATCTTCGCATTCTTGCTTCAAAAACATCCATTCTTCAATTTGCTCCTTTTCCAGTTCAGATAAAGCATTGGAAGTGATCAATCTGCAAAAACGTGTTATGATTGTAGCAAATGCATTTAGTAATTATACCCTGTACCCAAAGGGTGAAAGGGTATGCTAGCTTTGTGCGAAGATTCTGATGTAAAAGTATGCTGTTGAAGCTGTACATAAACACAACTGTCCACTTTGTATTTGAATTGAATATTTTTAAATTAATTTAATTAATTAAAAGTTTTTAAATTAATTTAAAAAAAAAAGAAGTAGAGAAGCTAAAGTCGGGTATCCCGACTTTGAAATACTCTGTACATATGTGTAGAATAATTATGCGTGTATGTGTGTGTCTGTGTATGTCTCGTGTGTCTGAGCAAAGCAGTTACAACAACAACAGCTGCGGGCACTACTTGGTCTTATGTACATATATGGCTATAACTGTTATTCTGTTAAATCGGCCTATCATGATGAAACTTGGCATTTGGACTTATAATAACTAAATAGAGGTATGTACTTGCCAAGTTTGAGTTCGAAAATCCAAGAATTACGGGAGTTAGGGGGAGGGGAAAAATTCCAAAATACACATTTTCTGCGTATTTACATAAGGCATCTTGGACTAAAATTTTGTGTCCCTAGGTCTTATAGTCTCCGAGATATATGCGATACGATTTGGAAAATCGGGAATTTGGGGGGGGGGGGGGGGGGGGGGGGGGGGTGGACATAAATAAAACAAACTTGCACAGCGTACACACATAATGCATCTTTCTGCAAAATTTAGTGTCTCTAGCTCTTATAGTCTCAGAGATCCAGGTGTTCATACGGACAAACTGACAGACGGACAGACAGACAGAGCTAGATCGACTCGTCTCGTCATGCTGATCAAGAATATATATAATTCGTGGGGTCTGCCATCCCTCCTTCTGCCTGTTCCATTTTCAGCTGCCGCAAACCAAATATACTCTTGTAAATGTTATGTACAGAGTATACAAATTCTGTGGGAGTGGATACAGGGTATTTCATTGCCGGGCTTGCTCGCCGGTAACGTTCTTTCTTGTTTTGAGTTTACGTACTTGGAAAAGAGACCTTCAGCATTAGATACAAGTTTGAACCATTGACTTGCTGCAAACTGCAGCCCAAAGTGGCCTGCTTTTGGAGGTACCACGCACGATATGACCGAAGAGGTCGCACTAAAGGGGGCCACCTCTGGTGATATGGGCATATTATCATCTGAAAACGTATTCATGATAACGTAGTTTCGAACAGACTGAACTTCAGTTGCAAACTGCAGATTTCCTAAAGTTTCATCGATATCCTGTTCCAATGGTGATATGCATAATATGAATAATGTCTGCGCTCGTCCACCAAAAGAATCCTTCAAAAGTGTAGTCAGTGTGGATCGACTATATGGAATATTACGCTCTTCACCTTGCAAATTTATGGGATCGATTAGACTGTGAACTACTTGCTCAAGCATTTGCAGACCAGTGTCACCTGGCCGTGAATTGCGCCAACGTTGACTAGCGCACAAATCTGAAAAGCTGGCTGTGGACAAGCGATGCTGTAGGAATCCATCTTTTGAGACCCACTGCTGCTCCAGAGTTAATGTGAAGAGCGTGTGCACAGCTGTTGAAGATTTTTGCATTAAGCTCAGTCCAACCTGCAGCCAATGGAAGACTTCTTCAACATTGCTGCAATGAACGTTGCCAACCCCAAGCAGATCACGTATATGATCGTTGCAGATTTCGACAAAGCCCACATGAACTACAAATGTTCGATCTGTAAAATAAACTTATCAACAAACTTATAACATACATTTTAAATCAAATTACCTGTACTTCGATTCACATGATTAAATATATCACGTACGCAATGCTGTACCACTCCTTGATCGGTCTCACTGTAGATATATTCAAATCCATTTCCATACAATGTATACGTTTTCCCTGTTGCCTTTTGGCCATATGTTACTACAGATGCATCAAATCCTTCCAGAAAAAGACTTATCAATGGAAATACTGATTGCTGATAAATGTGGTTTTGCGAAGTGTCACTTTTGATGACATGTCCTACACTATAGGTGTTTTTGCCAACTTTTATAACGTCCGCGCCAGACAACGTCGACTCCACGCAAACTAATGATGTTTCATTACTTTGTATCTGTTTGGTTACTGACACGAATTTGCAGCTGCTTCTGTTGTTAATTACATTGCAGTCACTATCGCCATTAGACATAGGGTTTAACCTATTATTGTGATGCAACCGTGTACTTTGAATTCGCACAGCTACTTGTATAGGTATTTCCATCGTTTCATACAAGCTTGTCAATTACTTAATCCTAATAGCTTAGATTCGAATAGATCGTAGGGATGTAAGAAAACAACGATGCATTAAAGATGTAAGAACCCTCTATGAATCGTACATCGACGATGTTTTAACAAGATGCATCGATGTTTTTTTTTGCTTGATATACATTGTCAATCCATCGATGTTTGTCAAAACATTGAACATTTTTGTTCTGTTGGGCGGTCACATTTATTTTGATTTATTTGAGATTGTTATTTGATTTGTATATAATGCCGATGTGTATAAATATGTATAACCACACTTATTATTATTAAAAAGCGTAATTGCGGATTGATTTTTTTTAAAAATACAAATACATTAAAAGTCAGCATAACAATTACTTTAAAAGTTATTCACATTAAATAAAATACTATTACAGTTTATCTTGCATAATACATCGATGCACATCGTCATCGATGTTTTCTCTTCGACTTACATCCCTAAATTTCGCATCGATGGTTAGATTTTTTTATATTATCGATATATATCGTAGATGCATCAATTCTTGCATATTTCATCGGACATTTTCTGCTTTTGTGTTTGTTTCTATATAGAGCTGGGGAAACATCGATGTTTACCAACATCTATGTATCGATGCATCGAAATTCCACTAACAAATTTTCAAACAAAAATTAATTTACAGCATAGGGCACTTCGTTTTGATTTGTCTTATTTATAAAGGCACAAAAGGTTTTAAAATAAACGATATTTTTACAACTTCAAATAATAAACTAAAACAAGAGAAAGTATAACAAAAAAACAAATTATAGCTTTTACCACTAACCATACAACATATACATAGATGCGTCATTTCATACAACGAAAACGTCCTATCAAAATTGTTAGCGACAGCTCCCATAGCTGTTCGGGTATTTGCCGAATGGGAGCTGTCGCACTTCGGCTATGAGCCGACTGGGAGCTGTCGCATTCGTGCACTCTGTGAGCTAATTTCTTTTCATTCGCAGAGAGGCAGTCAACAGAGAAGGTCGGTTCACGCCGCTTTTGCTCTTTGTATGTGTGTTTGCACATATATACATGTATAAATAATTATTTGGATGTATATGTTTTGTTGTTAATTTTGGACATAGTCTGGTTGAATTTTTTGAATCAATTTCAAATAAATCTTCTATTACTTTCCATGAAACAACGCCATTAGGCGTATTTAAATTTCTTTTCAATATTATGTTTCTAAGCGATTTTATAAGATGTGGAACATCTTATATCGCAAATATTTCTTTTTGGTTTACATGGAAACTGGGATTATTTATCTCAAATCCCTATCTTTTAAATACAGCTCTATTGTTTGAGCCTTGGTCGCAAATAGCAAATACAATATTAGATCGGTAACAAATTTGAGCGGCGAATTAAAAAAAAACATATGTACATACATACATATAAACATATATGTATTTTTGTTTATTTGATTACACTTGTTTTACAAATTTTACCACATTTTGCGACCCTTAAATGTACTTATTTTCATATTAAATATCGGCTAATTTGCCAACCGACATTTTTACCAAGAACATAAATAAAATAAAATATTTTTAAACTAATATTTTTGAATTAATTTGATTTAAATGCCAACTGACATTTTTACCAAATATTTTGTAATTAATATGCAAGTCAAACAAAAATAAGAAATAGCCTATCAACAAAATTGCTTGTGCATAAATACATATATGTAAGTTGAGGCAGGTCATGACAATGTCAAGGCTACTGCCACACGTTCATATATGAAGTGTCTGCATATGAACACAACATTTGCACACATACATATGTATGTATGTGATTGTATGTATGTGTGCTTTTATAGGCATTATGAGAAACCCATACACTATTGACAAACTTCACTTGCATACGCATCCCAAAATACAATGCGACAGAAATATGGAAACAGTGTATGAAATTCTCATGCCCATGTAGCAGGTAAAATCTGAAAACGAAATTGAAGCTGCTGCTCGCAAACAGCAAAAGACCAAATGCACAAATACATATAAGCATATACATGTATATATGTGCACGCACACATACAAAGAGCATAAGCGGCGTGAACCGACCTTCTCTGTTGACTGCCTCTCTGCGAATGAAAAGAAATTAGCTCACAGAGTGCACGAATGCGACAGCTCCCAGTCGGCTCATAGCCGAAGTGCGACAGCTCCCATTCGGCAAATACCCGAACAGCTATGGGAGCTGTCGCTAACAATGGTGGTGATGGGACGTTTTCGTTGTATGAAATGACGCATCTATATGTTGTATGGTTCAGTGCTGCCATTTTAGCTTGTTTCCCGCTAGATCTGGCTTTATATTTAATGCCAGTGCGGGAAAAATTCAATAATTTCGGGTTGCGGGAATTCTAGCTTTAAAAAAAATTTTTTAGCATTTTTCTAGCTTTACTTTTTTTTCACCATATATTTTGTCCCTTTATCTTTGTCAACACTGAAAATCATGAATATAAAAAGCGATAAGCGACTTTCGATAATAAACTCGATTAAAATCACCTTGATGCTCGATTATCAACTGTTTTTGTGCAAATTTGTCTTCATTGAATTAAGAAATGTCTAAATTATACAAACAAAATGTTCGCGAGGTGTGGCTGCAGAGCGCCGAGTTTAAAGAGTGGCTCCGCAAAGATATTACGAATTCCACAAGGGCTTACTGCAGCTACTGCAAGTGCGGGTTAACTGCAAAGCTTTGCAACCTGCGTGTCCACGCGGCAACCAAAAAACATAGGGGTGCACGAAGTGGCTTTGCACAAAAAGAAAAAATTGGTTTTGGGCAAACGCCAACAAAAACAATCGAGCAAGAGATAGCACTTTGCCTCTTTGTAACAAAGCACACTGCAATTGCTCCCATCGACCATCAAGGCACCCTTTGCGACCGCGATACCGCGTCTAGAATTAAGCTGCATCGCACTAAATGTACATACATTATTAAAAATGTATTGGCTCCTCATTTTCGTGAGGACCTCAGAAACGACGTTGGAAACGCTAAATTTAGTTTGATTTACCAGGTAAACTTGGTAAAATCAAAATTAAGGAATGGAATGAATTTAAATACGCTTAACTCCATTTTAAGCGTAAGGTAAGGGTTTTTATAAACAAAATAAAATATTGTCATAAATATATCAATTTATTTTCCATTAAAGATAGGGACTAAATCGTAAAAACAAATGCTGTTTTGAGTATTCATTGCCTCAAAAATGGTTGCGAGCAGTAGGCAACCGAATTTATTACCCTGACGAAGAGGCAGTGAGCTTAGATGAACTAATCGAGTTATAGAAGAGAATTATAGAATTGAACATTTTCAATTTTAATTTATTGTGAATCTTCTATAATTTTTTTACATTACAAGAATCTCATGTTTTATTATAAGCTATAAAATAAGAATATATATAGAATTAATATGAAAACTTTAAAACAGATATTTCCTTAAATTTAATCAAGAAAAAATTGTTTTTAAAACCGGTTTTTTTTAGCTTAATTTGCCTTGGATTTAGATTTTTTTAGCTTTAATTTTTTGACGATCTAGCTACTTTTGCTCAGAAAATTATGGCAGCTCTGGTATGGTTAGTGCTTTTACTTACCTAGCTTTTCCCGAGATTTTTTTTCAAGTAGTAAAAATTATCGAAAATCGGAAATAAAACATCGATGTTTGGAAAAAATTACAAAACATCGATGTATCGATTTTACATTGATGTTTCGCCCAGCACTAATCGTATTGTTGTAATACGATCTAGATGAATTGGTTAGATTTGTTTAATATTTAAACTTACCTACCCTAGTTCATTAGCCTACCAGATACAAGCGAAAATATACACCCCTTTAGGCGGTGTTGGGCATTATGGCGTAAATTTTCCGAAATATGTACATATGTATGTAAATTCATCATACATATGTTTAATGGGGTAGTAGTTATATTTATTCTCTTTTTTTTGAAACTTAAAAATACAATTTTTATGCACATAACGAATGAGTTTCAAACATTAATATTTTTATACTCTGTACATGAAATGTACAAGAGTATATTAGGTTTGCAGGAACTGAAAAATGTAAGACGCAAAAGGAGGCGTGGCAGACCCCACAAAGTATAACTATTCTAGACGAACATGACAAGACGAGTCGATCTATGTCTGTCGGTCTGTCTGGCGGACGGTCGGACCGTATGAACTCCTGGATCTCAGAGTCTATAAAGCTAGGTACACACGATGCAAACAATTTGCAGCAAGTTGATTGCTGCAATCAAATTTGCACGTATAAACACGAGTGCAACCATTTTGCTGCAAACAAAGAACTTGCAAAAATTGTTTGCAGCAATATTTTTTGCTTGTCGTCTGTATACATTATTTTACCGTTTCTTGGTTGCGTCAGTTGCTTGCTTGCTTGCATGTGCTGTTTGCTTTCAGTCGCAATATTGCAGCAAGCAAAGCAACATGTGGGATCGCGAGGAAACGATAAAATTAATTGAATTTTACGAGAATTATTCTGTTTTATGGGATGTCTCGGCAGCAGAATAGATAGAACGCTACAGTCGAGCAAGCCCGACAGTAAAATAGCCTGTACTCTCCACAAAAAGGAAAAATTAAAAAAAAAAAAATTTAAAAAAAATTAAATTATTAAAAAAAATGAATGATTTAATTAATTACAAATCGAAAAAAAAACTCAAACTCGTACTTTCTCGGTCTTAGGAGAATATGGAAACCAAGTTTGGTTATTCTAGCTCTTATACTTTCTGAGATCCTTGCGTTCATATGGACAGACAGACGGACGGACGGACAATGCTCTGCATCTCATCCTGATCAAGAATATATATACTTTGTGGGGTCTGCCACGCCTCCTTCTGTGTGTTACATACATGCGCACAAAACTAGTATAGCCTTTCACCCAAATGAGTGTCACTTGCAAGCACTGCAAACAAGAAATGAAAACACGTGTAGACATTGACGCAATATATTGCACGAAATAGCCATGCAAAAGTTTGCATGCAAAACAAAAATTGATTGCAGCAAGAAATTTTCTTGCAATATTTGCATAGGTGTAAACATTGGTGCAAACTTTTGCTGCAA